CAACAGCTGGGCCACAGACACCCAACTGACATAGCCCAGCCCTAAAGAATTATTGGGTGCTCCCCCCAACCTTAACGGTTAGGGGTGGGGTTAAAAATGTCTGAGCCAAGGGGTCACAACGTCCCTGGTAAAAATTTATGTGAATACCATAATTCACGAGACTTCCACGCGCGGCAATTCCATGAATTCACGGGGTGTGTGAATAATTAATGCTCGAGATTAGAGAACTCAGAATAACGTGTTTTTTTGCGATTTCACAATCATTTATAACTGATTGCACATCTTCGACTCCCAGACACCTGTCTGTCTGTCTGTCTGTCTGTCTGTCTGTCTGTCTGTCTGTCTGTCTGTCTGTATGTCTGTCTGTCTGTCTGTCTGTCTGTCTCTCTGTCTGTCTGTCTGTCTCTCTGTCTGTCGGTCTGTCTGTCTGTCTGTCTGTCTGTCTGTCTGTCTGTCTGTCTGTCTGTCTGTCTGTCTGTCTGTCTGTCTGTCTGTCTGTCTCTCTGTCTGTCGGTCTGTCTGTCTGTCTCTTTCTCGCTCTCTCTCTCTCTCTCTCTCTCTCTCTCTCTCTCTCTCTCTCTCTCTCTCTCTCTCTCTGAGTATGAGTGCATGTGTGTATGAGTTTGAGTGCATGCATTTTACGAATGAGTATTGGTGCTTGAATGTATCTAAATGAGCATGAGTGTGGGTATTTGCATGTGTCTGAATGAGCATGGGTGTGGGGGCTTGCATGTGTCTGTATGAGCATGGGTGTGGGGGCTTGCGTGTGTCTGTATGAGCATGAGTGTGGGGGCTTGCATGTGTCTGTATGACCATGGGTGTGGGGGCTTGCATGTGTCTGTATGACCATGGGTGTGGGGGCTTGCATGTGTCTGTATGAGCATGGGTGTGGGGGCTTGCATGTGTCTGTATGAGCATGGGTGTGGGGGCTTGCATGTGTCTGTATGAGCATAGGTGTGGGGGCCTGCATGTGTCTGTATGAGCATGGGTGTGGGGGCTTGCATGTGTCTGTATGAGCATGGGTGTGGGGGCTTGCATGTGTCTGTATGAGCATGGGTGTGGGGGCTTGCATGTGTCTGTATGAGCATGGGTGTGGGGGCTTGCATGTGTCTGTATGAGCATGGGTGTGGGTACTTGCATGTGTCTGTATGAGCATGAGTGTGGGTACTTGCATGTGTCTGTATGAGCATGAGTGTGGGGGCTTGCATGTGTCTGTATGAGCATGGATGTGGGTACTTGCATGTGTCTGTATGACCATGGGTGTGGGTACTTGCATGTGTCTGTATGAGCATGGATGTGGGTACTTGCATGTGTCTGTATGACCATGGGTGTGGGGGCTTGCATGTGTCTGTATGAGCATGGGTGTGGGGGCTTGCATGTGTCTGTATGAGCATGGGTGTGGGGGCTTGCATGTGTCTGTATGAGCATGGGTGTGGGGATTGCATGTGTCTGTATGAGCATGGATGTGGGTACTTGCATGTGTCTGTATGAGCATGAGTGTGGGTACTTGCATGTGTCTGTATGAGCATGGATGTGGGTACTTGCATGTGTCTGTATGAGCATGGGTGTGGGTACTTGCATGTGTCTGTATGAGCATGGGTGTGGGGATTGCATGTGTCTGTATGAGCATGAGTGTGGGGGCTTGCATGTGTCTGTATGAGCATGGGTGTGGGGATTGCATGTGTCTGTATGACCATGGGTGTGGGGATTGCATGTGTCTGTATGACCATGGGTGTGGGTACTTGCATGTGTCTGTATGACCATGGGTGTGGGGGCTTGCTTGTGTCTGTATGAGCATGGGTGTGGGTACTTGCATGTGTCTGTATGACCATGGGTGTGGGGGCTTGCATGTGTCTGTATGAGCATGGGTGTGGGGGCTTGCATGTGTCTGTATGAGCATGGGTGTGGGGGCTTGCATGTGTCTGTATGAGCATGGATGTGGGGGCTTGCATGTGTCTGTATGAGCATGGGTGTGGGTACTTGCATCTGTCTGTATGAGCATGGGTGTGGGGGCTTGCATGTGTCTGTATGAGCATGGGTGTGGGTACTTGCATGTGTCTGTATGAGCATGGATGTGGGGGCTTGCATGTGTCTGTATGAGCATGGGTGTGGGTACTTGCATGTGTCTGTATGAGCATGGGTGTGGGTACTTGCATGTGTCTGTATGAGCATGAGTGTGGGTACTTGCATGTGTCTGTATGAGCATGAGTGTGGGTACTTGCATGTGTCTGTATGAGCATGGGTGTGGGTACTTGCATGTGTCTGTATGACCATGGGTGTGGGGGCTTGCATGTGTCTGTATGAGCATGGATGTGGGGGCTTGCATGTGTCTGTATGAGCATGGGTGTGGGGGCTTGCATGTGTCTGTATGAGCATGGGTGTGGGGGCTTGCATGTGTCTGTATGAGCATGGGTGTGGGGGCTTGCATGTGTCTGTATGAGCATGGGTGTGGGGGCTTCCATGTGTCTGTATGACCATGGGTGTAGGGGCTTGCATGTGTCTGTATGACCATGAGTGTGGGTACTTGCATGTGTCTGTATGAGCATGGGTGTGGGGGCTTGCATGTGTCTGTATGAGAATGAGTGTGGGTACTTGCATGTGTCTGTATGAGCATGGGTGTGGGTACTTGCATGTGTCTGTATGACCATGGGTGTGGGGGCTTGCATGTGTCTGTATGACCATGGGTGTGGGGGCTTGCATGTGTCTGTATGAGCATGGGTGTGGGGGCTTGCATGTGTCTGTATGACCATGGGTGTGGGGGCTTGCATGTGTCTGTATGAGCATGGGTGTGGGGGCTTGCGTATGTCTGTATGACCATGGGTGTGGGGGCTTGCATGTGTTTGTATGAGCATGGGTGTGGGGGCTTGCATGTGTCTGTATGAGCATGGGTGTGGGGGCTTGCATGTGTCTGTATAAGCATGGGTGTGGGGGCTTGCATGTGTCTGTATGACCATGGGTGTGGGGGCTTGCATGTGTCTGTATGACCATGGGTGTGGGGGCTTGCATGTGTTTGTATGAGCATGGGTGTGGGGGCTTGCATGTGTCTGTATGACCATGGGTGTGGGGGCTTGCATGTGTCTGTATGAGCATGGGTGTTGGGGCTTGCATGTGTCTGTATGACCATGGGTGTGGGGGCTTGCATGTGTCTGTATGAGCATGGGTGTGGGGGGCTTGCATGTGTCTGTATGACCATGGGTGTGGGGGCTTGCATGTGTCTGTATGAGCATGGGTGTGGGGGCTTGCATATGTCTGTATGACCATGGGTGTGGGGGCTTGCATGTGTTTGTATGAGCATGGGTGTGGGGGCTTGCATTTGTCTGTATGAGCATGGGTGTGGGTGCTTGCATGTGTCTGTATGAGCATGGGTGTGGGGGCTTGCATGTGTTTGTATGAGCATGGGTGTGGGGGCTTGCATGTGTCTGTATGACCATGGGTGTGGGTACTTGCCTGTGTCTGTATGACCATGGGTGTGGGGATTGCATGTGTCTGTATGAGCATGAGTGTGGGTACTTGCATGTGTCTGTATGAGCATGAGTGTGGGGGCTTGCATGTGTCTGTATGAGCATGGGTGTGGGGGCTTGCATGTGTTTGTATGAGCATGGGTGTGGGGGCTTGCATGTGTTTGTATGAGCATGGGTGTGGGGGCTTGCATGTGTTTGTATGAGCATGGGTGTGGGGGCTTGCATGTGTCTGTATGAGCATGAGTGTGGGGGCTTGCATGTGTCTGTATGAGCATGGGTGTGGGGGCTTGCATGTGTTTGTATGAGCATGGGTGTGGGGGCTTGCATGTGTCTGTATGAGCATGGGTGTGGGTACTTGCATGTGTCTGTATGAGCATGGGTGTGGGTACTTGCATGTGTCTGTATGAGCATGGGTGTGGGGGCTTGCATGTGTCTGTATGAGCATGGGTGTGGGTACTTGCATGTGTTTGTATGAGCATGGGTGTGGGGGCTTGCATGTGTCTGTATGAGCATGGGTGTGGGGGCTTGCATGTGTTTGTATGAGCATGAGTGTGGGTACTTGCATGTGTCTGTATGAGCATGAATGCATGTATGTATTTGTATGAGGTGTATGTATGAGCGTGTGTGTATGTATGTATGAATGTATATGAATAGGTGTTTTTGTGTCTGTATATGGATCGACATGTAACGGGGTATGTATAATTGTGTATATATGATGTGTGTATGTTTTTTTAAATTATGTATCTTTTTATATAAACATGCATTACTGAAAACATAAAATTGCGGTCTGAAATAGAAATGCTTGGAAAGGCCGAATGTAAGACTGGCTTGCGTACCCACCCAGTTTTTAACCATTTAAAAATAAATTTGTTCGTTCGTACGTTCTCTCTTTCTATCTGTTTCTCTGTCTCTTTCTCTGTCTCTCTCTCCCTGTATGTCTTTAAGTCCATCCGCCACAAGTCATCCTGTCTGTCTGTTCGTACTTGTATCTGTCCGCACGTCTTTTTGGTAAGTTAATTTATGTTATGTATACTGATATATGAACTTAGCATAAATTGTTGTAAAATACGATTGCTGTGAAAAGAATGACTGGTTGGAAAGGCCCATGAAAGACAGACCTTGACCTATATACCCAATGCGTGACTCTAACAAATAATTGTGTTAGTTCGTGCTGAATGTTTTGTCCTGCTTCCCTCTTTGCCCGCTACCCTCCCTTCTGTTTTTCTTAATATTCATAACATGCACATTATTATATGAACACAACATGCTTTACTGATAAAATACGACTTCTGTCTGAAAGATGGGTGTTTGAAAGGGCCGAATATAAGACGGGCCTGCGTGCCTAATTTGTGACCTTTTGAAAATAAAGTTTGTTTGTTCGTCCCCCCCCCCCCCCCGAACTCACCTCCTCCTCGCCCACAACTCCCCCAACTCCATCACTCTTTCAATCTCAATAATTGCCTCTGTTCTCATTGGTCTCTCATTCTCCATCTAACAGGGTGAGATATCACAACATGTATGTTTTCCTTCTTTCTGCAGGGATACAAGCCAACACTTTTCTACCCCAAACAGAGCAACAAGCCGCTGTTGAAAGCTTTGGCTCTCCAGGTATGGGATACCAACGTGGTTATATCTTTACTTTTCATTACAAGCACAAAACTTCCATTAACTCTCACTACTTTTAGAGCGGAGTAATACATGAGGACTTGAGCGTGAGAATTTAGAGCCCCGTGGCTCGTACAAATACGAAACCACTTGTGACATTTTAATAATTTTGTTTTTATATAGGACCAAGCAAGGATGAGGGTCAACGCGAGGGCCAGTCCCAAGGTCACTCCCATGAGCTTCCTCAAGAAGGGCAGATTTATAAGGGTAAAATCAACGTGGTCGTATGCCCTCCATCGATACCTGCATGTGCAAGGGACTGGTTACCGCCTGGTTTTGAAACGTACCCACAGACAATGCGGAAGACTGGCCTGGGAACTGACATAGTTGTGCACTCTGAAAAACGCTAGCTCATCCTGATTGAGCTTACCTTGCCGTATGAGTCGCGAATGAACAAAAATCACCTGTACTAGAGTAGGGTATCTCGTGGCTGGTCTGAGGAGCGATGAGGCGTACGCGGTAAAAATCTTCGCTGTCGAGGTAGGCACAAGAGATCTTACCTCCATTTTCAGGTGCTTTGTGCTAAAGCTGATGGGCTTGCGAGGTAACGAGCGTAAACGGCCACTAAATCAACCAGGCAAAGCTGCTGAAAGAATTTCGAGCTGGCTCTGGAGGCAACGGAACATCGTGGGGGATGGGCCTCGGTAGACTGGTCCAAGTCCCTAGTGGAAAAGAACGTGTTATCCCTTAAAAGCCAGTGTCTGATAAATGTCTGCCGGTGTCTCTCTGCCCATGGTCGATGACTAACAATTGTCCGATGAACCAACCATAAGCTTGTCACTTTGGTCGTGAAGGTAGTCAACTGATATAATCTGCTACCGCAGCAACAATATAACACTAAATCTCACAGCACCTGATGAACATACCCAGATCGTCTTGTCCTTATCGAGTTCGATAAAGTGCAGCAGGGGAAGATCGGGGCCTGGTTGCGTGACCCAGGTCGGCCCACATTCCAAGATTGTTTAAGGGGTGCATTTGTCCGAGCAATTGCCGACGAAGGATCTCTACTGATGACCGCTGGACACCTGCCGTGCATGCTCCCGTGTGGAGCTCTTCTTCTCATTATACAGCAGTGTCAGGTTGTGTTCTTTATTGCGCTTTGTGTGAGCGGCCAGGTACATATAATATTTTACTCTTTGTTCTTAGCGGCCATCAACATTGCGTATATTCTAGCCTTCTCGGGCATTAGGTACGACTTGAATTTACTTCAGTTGTCAGCGTTGACGACTGTCAAGGAGGGCCGACTGCCAAATGTTAACAGTTCTAAAACCACGGGACGTAGGCTGGAGTCTCTAGTGGAACGTAAGCTGAGACTGTGGGTGGGGGGGGGGGGGCGTTTAGAGCCAGTTCTAAATCTTTTAGGGGTCGTTGGAAGCACTCGCATGGTGTAAGATAGAGTACGCGTCATTACCAGTGAAACTGTCGAAGACAGTGCAACCTGACACCCCTATAAAGGATAGTAGCGCGTGAGAAAGGTCAGGAAGTATAAATGAACGGCCAATCAAGGTGTACATGTGGCGGTAATCGTAGTTGTACTCATAAAAATTAAAACATTAATATAACAACATAACATAACTTGTGGTCATCTTTCTACAGTGTGAACGTCTGGACATCCCCAGATTGTCCTTCTTCCCCACTGACCCCCAGTGCATCGCCGACTCCTTCAACCTGGTCATCGACGCCCTCTTTGGCCTCAGCTTCACACCGCCCGTGCGACCAGATTTTGTTACCATCGTAGACAGCCTCATTCAGATTCAGGATAAGGTCCCAATATGTTCTATAGATATTCCTAGCGGTCAGTTGACACCGTCTTTGTATGTGAGTGTGAATGTGTGTGGTAGTGTTGTGTGTGATTGTGTGTGTGTGTGTGTGTGTGTTTGCGTGCATGCGGGCGTGTTGTTTGTTGTGTACGTGTGTTTATGTTTTATTTGATTTGATAATTGCTTTGTTTTATTGCATACAAAAAATAGTTGCTTTTATGAAGTCCTCGTTTGTTTGTATATTAAATTTCTCTTTCTCTGCCCCCTCTCACTCATTCTCTCTCTCTCTCTCTCTCTCTCTCTCTCTCTCTCTCTCTCTCTCTCTCTCTCTAGTTTAAGAGTTACGAACGCAGTTCATAATTTCGACATTGGAATGGAGGGCTGGCGCTAAGGAAAGCCATTGTAAACTACTGAACGTTCTGTACAGAATATGTAATTACGCTTGTACATATTTTATCTCTCCATCTCTATTAACCCACTTTACATCTCCAGCTCCACGAACCCACTTTTTTCTCCAGGTTCACTAGCCAACATTATCTCTCCAGCTTCACTAACCCACTTTTTCTCTCCAGCTCTAATAACCCACTTAATACCTCTCTCTCTCTCTCCAGGCTGGGATGTAGACAAGGGGAACCCCGAAGGTCTACAGCCCGTCATGCTGGTCTCCCTTGCTGTACCAAAACAGTGCGCCGCCCAGTTCAACGGGCAGAAACATTTTCTTGGCGGAAGGTGGGTTACCGCTGTTGTGATCAACCTCCTGATATTGAATGATTGATTAGTAGACTGATTGACTAAACACGTAAGTTGACGGTTTGATTGCAGGCACGCTGACACAAAGAAAACATTGCAAAGAGGGGGAGGGGAGGGGGGGTCAACCTGCTTTCCTCGCCATCCTTACACATTTTCTAGGCATAAATGGGGCAGGTTGACCTCCGGCTCATTTTGCACTGTGAAGAATTTTCTTTGCCATTTTTCTTTTCAGTTGAGACGACAGAGAGAATTATCAAGAGCTATATGAAACCTATCCTGATATACGGAAGTGAATCATAAATAGTTGGACGATTGGTATGACATTATTTGGAAATGGCGGAGATGTGGTTTTATAGACGAAGGATGAGAATACCCTGGACAGATAATAATAGTAATAAAGATGTAATTAAAGGAAACTGACATACAAAGAGAACTTCTTCTTCTTCTTCTTCGCGTTCACCAGCTGTACACTCTGACGGAAAGTTCTGGTTGATCGTCCACTACTGAACTGCAGTCCTGCTCCAGAACCTGAGTGTTGCGTGTGCATCAGTTTTACAGATCTCATTCTCTTGAATACAGACTGTTGGTTCCTTGCCTCTCCGGCAGATGCACTCCGACTTCAAAGGAAGCTCCCCAGTTAGTCGACTCTTACGACATGCTTTTGGGGAGGCAGTGGGTCTATTCTTGTTTTCCCCACAATGGGGGCCCCGGAATCAACACAGGGGACAAAGAGAACTGATTCTTTGGTCAAGTCATGAGAAGGAGAAAACTCAGGTACATCATGACGGTTGGAAAGTTGGAGGAGAACAGATTCAAACGGAGACTGTGAGACATGGACAGCTTGACATTGTGGCATAAAACATAATGTACTTCAGAAATGACTGAAAGTACACGAGACTGAAGGCTATGGATAGGACATGACTACCAATGTCACACGCAACAACTGTAAGAAGAATAAGTGGGTTCTTCTGTCTAGTTATAAATACCAATCAATTAGTTTTTCATACTGGTTTTAGGCGGGTTATACAGTCCTAAAAATTCCTTCGTTGCCTGACCAATACCCGACTCTGTATTCATAAATCCATCCAGATCGTATCTTACTTTGTGTCTTCAACTAGCTACTGCTTAGGTTGACCTCTTGTGTGATTTAGCCATTATGATTATACCTACTGTTGACATTTTATCTATTATGATTAAACCTACTGTTGACATTTTATCTATTATGATTAAACCTACTGTTGACATTTTATCTATTATGATTAAACCTACTGTTGCCATTTTATCTATTATGTTTATACCTACTGTTGACATTTTATCTATTATGATTATACCTACTGTTGAAATTTTTTCTATTATGATTATACCTACTGTTGACATTTTATCTAACATGATGAAACCTACTGTTGACATTTTAGCCATTATGATTATACCTACTGTTGTCATTTTATCCATTATGATAATACCAACTGTTGACATTTTATATATTACGATTAAACCTACTGTTGACATTTTAGCCATTATGATTATACCTACTGTTGACATTTTATCCATTATGATAATACCAACTGTTGACATTTTATCTATTATGATTATACCAACTGTTGACATTTTAGCCATTATGATTGTACCTACTGTTGACATTTTATCAATTATGATTACACCTACTGTTGACATTTTATCAATTCTGATTATACCTATTATTATCGTCCCTGCTGTTAGCGCTGTATCCATTATGATCGTCTTTGCTGTTGTCGCTTTATCCAATATAATTATCGCGACCCTCAACGTTTTATACGATATGATCATCTCAACTATTGGCGCTTTATACCTTATAATCGTCTGTACTGTTGACGCTTTATCCAGTATAATCGTCTCTACTGTTAGCGTTTTTTGTGTGTTATGATTGTACCTACTATAAGGATGACATGCCGTCTCCACAATAAAGGTTGACTACAGTGTTTGGGAATATTAGGAGTGATGCCCTAATACAACTCCCATACTACTTACCGGAAACTACGAGAACGGGTTTTCCCCCCTCCAAAAATCGTCCAGCCGCAGGAATCGAACCCTTCTCCTCGAGGATCGCGACAGATCTTGACCGCATTTATAACCGTCTGAGCCACAGAACCTCTACTGCTACTTTATCCACTATGACAGTACCCACTACGGGCGCCTTTTCTGCCAATAAACCGCTGGATAATTGTCTCCAACTCCGGCATTAACCTACAATGTATCCCAATACAGGAGACACATTAATAATCAGTACCCACCCATGCCACATCTGCCCATTGTCAGCTTGACACACTGCAAATTAAAATCAGGAATAATGACTGCTCTAGACTTCACCGGAAGGGATCAGATCAGAGAAGCTCTAGGAAAGTGACAATTATTTTTGCTGGATGCAACTAGAAGAACAAAATCTGGACAATGTATTTCTTGCAATTGACACCAGGAGCGACAAAACAGAAGTAAAGAAGTCACACACACACACACAAAACACAGGAGGAGAAGAAGAAGGAGGGGAACAATAAGGAGAAGAAGGAGGATGGGAAGAAGAAGAAAATGATGATTATCATGTTTGATGATGATGATGATAAAGAAAAATAAGACGAAGAAGAGAAGAAGAAGAAGAAGAAGTAGTAGTAGAAAAAGAAGAAGAGGAAGAAGAAGAAGAAGAAGAAGAAGAAGAAGAAGAAGAAGAAGAAGAAGAAGAAGAAGAAGAAGAAGAAGAAGAAGAAGAAGAAGAAGAGGGTATGAGGGGAGGAATAGGGGGAAAAAAAGAAGAAATTAAAGCAGATGTTTTCAAGCTAGCAATTAAGGGCACAAAGCGCTGGAATCATCGGGGAAATGAGAGAGCTTAACTGTGATAGATTTAAGGATTTTTCTCTAGAGGAAATGTGGTTTTAACGAGCTTCTTCTGTTATACGGTACACCAAACTCGTCAACTGTAGGGGACACGAAGACGGATTAACTCAAGGCAAATTTTGTTACACGCAACAAAAGCAACTAACTGCTGACTACTTCATGTGGCATCGCTATATTTTTTTGGACTTTGATTTCGACGTAACACGTCGCATGATGGAATAGTTTGCTGTGCATAGCTCTTAAGTAAGTAACGCCACCGCGGCTAGGACCCCACAAGGAGCGATAAACACCTGGTGACATAAAGTGAAACTAGTCGGATGAGAATCACCCAGGTCCAAGTCCCAGAACCTCTCACTGTGGAAATGGAAATGATGATTCAGGCTTTCGAATGTAAATGCTATAGACACATTTAAGGAATTGTTTTTTTATAACACAAAACTAATAAAAATGTGAGAGACAAAAAATACAAACTTGCAGGACATCAAGAGCCTCCGTTGGCAGTGGTGAAACGTCGAAAGTTAGCTTGGTTTGGGCACATGTGGAGACGATTGCAAAGACTGTGCTTCCAGGAACATTGGAAAAGGGGTGGGGGAGAAGGAGGGGGGTTGGTAGTCGAAGAAGACGGGGGCAAAGAAGAATATGAATGACAACACCAAGAAATGGACAGGACTAATTTATCATACACTTATTCATCAAACAGGCAGAGAAAGATGACATGTTTTATGTGCTAGTGCTTCAATCAGAATTATGATATGTTAAGTCAGAGAAACCTAGTTCAACCGTTAGGTTATATTAGGGTTCACGACTTCAGCCGGGGTGGGGTTTTAAAATTGCGACCCATATTGGAACGAGGGTTTAATTCTGTAGCTCTAAATTTTTATGCTGCGTGAGAATGTTCAATTATTTTCATAGAAGCAATGTTTCCAAACTGTGAACTTGAACTCAGAAAACACCAATAATAAATTTCAAAATTTCACAATCATCTCTGGAAGTGCAAACTACAGCATCATTTAAATATAATGAACTAGTTAAATAACTGGAATAGTTGAACTCGTTTAACTGAAATACAAAAACTGACTGACTGACGTTCTATGCATCGAGCGATAAACACCCGGTGACACAAATTGCCCTCATTGGGATGAGGATCACTCGGAGACAGGTCCCAGAAGCCCGTTCGACCCACAGGTTAAGTTATATTAAGACCCCCGGCAACAGCCAGGATGGGGCTTTAAAAAACGAAAAATTACTTTCCATATTGGACCAGGTGTTAAATGCAAATACAAAATCATCTACAACAGGGCGACTGTATATTTTTGATTGCACAAATCTGAATGAAGGCAATTTACTGTTGTGCTTTATCAAAACCTAGCATTCAACAGTTTGACGACAATTTGAATGTCATTAGTCCGTCTTGTTCTTCATCGGCCTGTTGTCCTCAGTATCAGATTTTCTTTACCGTAACTGCTATTTTAGTATTTAAAAAGATCGTCCAAGAAGAGATGGGTGATGCAGTTCCCTCAGCAAGATATAATGACAGTGACAGAGGTATCAGTTTCATCGTGGTGATCCTTGTTCATTGCTCATTTTAGAATGGGAATCTGAAGCTAAGTGCTTGGATGCCTTGATGCGTCCTCCATTGGGGGGGGGGGGGGGCGGGAGGGGGGGGGGGGAGGAAAATATTTTGTAAGGCGACGACAAAGAGGTCGGCCTGATTTAGAGATGTATGTAAATTTTTCTTTGAAAGAATGTGTTTATACATTTTACATTGTTTCACTGTTAAAATGTATCGATATTCTGTTAGATCGATCCGACCCATTCGTGTTCCCTTCTCCGATGCAGCAGCTCTCTCAGTGTCTCCATGAACAACGTACTCAGCGGGAATGGACTCGCTTATCTTCTTTCTTCGCCGCGCAACCGTTTTCAGCTTGCTTGTCCTTTTGTGATACCCATTTCCAAAAGGCGGGTAATCATCGCTGCCTATTTCCTTGTCCTAGTGCGCTCCTCCGCTGGAAATAGTTGCCACACTGTAGGATGTGTATAAGCAGCCCATCATTGGGCGTTGCAGACAGACAGGAAGTATGAATACTATTTACGGTAGCTTATAATTGGCCGGGCGTGAATATAACGGTTGTAATCGAACCTTACACTTTATATTGTCATTTAAAAATGCATCTTTCAACTTTTTTTTTTTGATTATTGTTTACTTTTTAAAATAAATAAGCCACTCCGTTTAAACCTCAAACATGGAGAGAAGAGCGCTCGCTGCATGATTACGCCACTAAACAGTAACATGTGAAAGCTACCAGTTTCTAATAATAATAGAAATACTAATTGCTAGCTGCACATACACAGTCAACAGCGAAGTGACGAGGGGGAAAATATCACGTGATAGTTTGTGCAGTGTAACCGTTACTGATGACGCTTCACCACTGCAGGCTAGTCGCGTCGGACCAAGACTTATACATGGCAACAGGTTGCCGAGGGACTCCTCTTGCGATCTTCCACTATCTCTGTTTTCGTTAATCTTGCAAGTAACCGCAACATATTGAAATTTTTCTCTTCCCCTAAATCGCACTCCAAATGCTATTACATGTGTTTACAATCGGTGTCTGTGGCTTAGGTGTTGCCATGGCGTTTCTTAATTCCGAGATGCCCGTTTCGATCTCATCCGCAGGTGATTGGGAAACACCCCCTTACATTGATTACATTGGTATCGAGAGCTTATCAATTAGTAGCTATGGCAAACTACTGAATGTAAAATTGCCTAGGAATATCCAAGCGGCCAACAAGTGGTGAAGATGTCTCTACAGCGTCCCATAAAGGCTACGCATCTATTTGTGTTTTTGATATGTCTCCGCATCTGTGCCTTTGTCAAACAATTAGGCAAGATTAGCCGACACAAAGAAAAATTGGGGGGGGGGGGGGGGGGGGTTTGTGACGTGGGGCAGCTCGTTGCGTGATATTCGTTTTGTCCCAAACTAGGATTGAGTGCTTCTGATTTCCTTTACAGGAAGCGGCCCCATTTACATTGATCGCATTAACGACAGTACGCCGCTGCGTTCTGAATGCTTGGCCATTCCTATCAGGCTATTTAGATCTCTATCGACGACAGAAACACATTGCTTGCCTCCAGCAGAGCGTCTCATGTGATATAGTTAGGATAACAGCAGAAGGATATGAAGAGGAGGGAGAAGCACAAAAGAATGGGGAGGAAGAAGAGGAGGAGGAGGAGGAAGAAGAAGAAGAAAAAGAAGAAGAAGAAGAAGAAGAAGAAGAAGAAGAAGAAGAAAAAGAAGAAGAAGAAGAAGAAGAAGAAGAAGAAGAAGAAGAAGAAGAAGAAGAAAAAGAAGAAGATGTTGATGATGATGATGATGATTATTATTATTATTATTATTATTATTATTATAAAGGTAATGATGATGATGAAACAGCAGTTTAAGTATATCGATTTGCTTATGGTGACACAGCGGGGAAAACTCAAAGATGAAATCATTTGCCCTGCAATTTGAGTGCTGTGGTTTCAATCTTCGTCATTTGGATGACAGTTGTTTTGTAGAGATACCGATCTGTGTTTTTGTGCCACTGTCTTGTATTTTGACCAACAGGACTGCGAGAAGAGATCAAGTCATTTTATATACAAAGACGGGTGCATAGATGTCTAATCTCACATTTAATCATCCTTTCATCCTACCCACCCACATTGAACTACGGTTTACATTGTACCCATTTTGTGGTGCCCCAGTCTAGCTGTGCTCAGGTGGCTGGCTAACACCTGGAGAATGGAGGGTGTCAGAGTCCCTAAGGACATCATCTATGGTGGATTAAAGACGAGTACAAGATGTCGAAGCGGACCTCAACTACAGTATAAAGATGTGTGCAACTGGGACATGAATGACAGAGGTGGACTTGTGGGAACAAAATGACATGGACCGTGTTGTGTGGAGAGGGCCCATCAGAAATTGAATAAGAATGAAAGAATAAATTATTGCACAAAGGATGAGAGATGAGCGTCTGAGAAGAAACAGACTGAACATGAATGTTGAGAACAATGATCCTGAAATCCCCATGCTAGAATTATAGAAGACTTCTCTTAACGCGGGTGGGTCTTGCTGGACACACTCGCCATCGCCATGGGTTCTGAGACCCACGCCTCCTCCCAGGGGTCTCCGTGGTGAAGGTGGTCAAGACGTTTGCCTCGCGCTCTGAATGTCGCGTGTTTGTTTCCCAGCGGTGCCTTTCATTTCACTGGTTCAATTTTTACGGATATCCAAGGGGACCGTCGCTGGAGCTACAAAGGTCGTGCTCTGTGCGACCCTCTAGGTAGGCAGCTAGCTGTTCTGCAGAGAGGGACTGAGCCATATGGGATAAAACCCAGTGCGATGAAGTCGATCCGCTCACTGTTACCTTTACCGTATCCCTCCTTCATAGCTAATAATAGATAAAATACCGTCTGGAAAGACGGAAAGGCGCCAATCATCATCAGTATAACTGCAGGAGTGAACCGGGTCAAGCATTAGCGCAGTGTCTTATCGCTCTCTTGCCGGCATGCGGCAGGATGTCTTGGGTTTGATTCTCGTCGATGGCCTGAAAACACTCGTTTACTTTTGTTAACGTAAATCGACAAAAAATTAACCCTGATAGAAAGAGAAAATAAAAGGCACTACTCAATGAGATCATGTAAATTTGTGAGTTATTTTTGCTACGCTTGTCTTATGTCATTCTTGTAACCATATATCTTGCAACATTATGCTACGTAATTCTTCATTGTCGTCTGTAAGTCTCGCAACCATTGTCGTGTTTAATTCTTGACTCGTAATTCCAACATACAACGATCGAAACACCTGTTGACTGCGTGGATTATTATCATGGAATGGGGCGTTGCAGGTCGAACTAGCCTAGAATGGGTACCAGGATGTATGTTCTGGGAAAGTAAAGACGGTCGGCTTAATGCTGACCACATTACCCAGCTTGTGCCGATGTGTATGTGCAAATGTGAGTGCTCCTCTCATATGCATGTTGCGCCTACAGACGTGTACTGGGATCTTTACTTCTTTACTATTTGTGTATGTATGTGTGTTTAAGTCATGCAAACTTTTGTATTGTATGTAATTCTTGCAACCATTGTCTTATTATCTAATTCTTGTAACCATTGTCTTATTATCTAATTCTTGCAACCATTGTCTTATTATCTAATTCTTGCAACCACTGTCACGTGTAATTCTTGCAACCATTGTCTACGTGTGTGTCTGTGTATGTGTGTGTGAGTGTTTGTGAGCGTTTGTGCGGCGTGCGAGCATGTGTATATGTGTGTGTGCGTGTGTGTGTATGAAGTGTCTTTACAAACTTTGTCTCATGTATTTCCTCTGATAAATTACTTTTTTCATTCTTGCTAACTTTAAATGATGTTTATCTTGTAACATTTGACCTACGTAATTCTTATAACCTGTAAGTTACGCAATTTTTTTAATCTGCATCCACGTGTAACTTTTAGGTTATGTTATTATTATTTTTTTTTTTCGCTGCAATTCTCTGTTGTAATTCTTGTTTTCACTTTTGGTTTACTTCCTCCCGCAGGTTTCTACCCTCTGGTCTGGCTCAGAAGTACGGACTCCGACTGCCAGCTTACCCCGGCACAGACCCCGTGGTGGAGCTGAAGATCCCAGAGAATAACACAGCCCAGCAATCTTGAGGATGTACTTTTGACCATCAGCACTAACTCAGCTTCACCTTTTACATTTCAATGATTTGTTCCGCATTTTGCGCACCAGGACTATGTGTTTTTGGTACAATACTTATCAGAACGTTGAGGCTGACTACATTCAGGAGAGAATCGCCTTGTGTGTGTAGATCTGTTGTATATTTGTTTATGTCATGTTTCTATACTCTTATTGTTGTTTTTCTGGATGCTACATTGGAACGAGAGTTCGAGAATTTGTATTTTCGAATGCTGCTGTAACTACTACTGCCACCACCACCACCACTGTTTATACTACTACTATTGTTGCTGCTGCTGCTCCTGCTTCTGCTGCTCCTACTACTACTACAAATACTGTTGCTGCTGCTGTTGTTGCTGCTGTTAATACTACTTTTATTTTTTCCATCTTTATGCTTTATCATTCCCATCATCATCATTTCCATCATTAATATTATCAGTACTTTCATTACCACCACATTATTTTCCTCAAATTAAGTATGATTTCTCAACCAATTTCAGTGAAAGGACCATAGATATTTTCATAATCTGTTGGAATTAAGACAATTAGTCTTTCAATGGAATATGAAAGAAAGTATCACTCCAAGTTTCCATACTCGTCTCTCACGACATATGTGGTAGATTATAGGGTTATTATCCCTGTTTGGTCGGGTTAAACATAGCATTCTCTCCATACGCTGACATATAAATTCAGGAATAGTTTTCTTGTCAATAAAACATTATATCTGGAGACTTTCTGCCGCTCTCCAATGCCTTTTTCGGACGATCAGTTTGTAGATTGTTTTGCTTATGGCCCTAGCTAGTCCTGAAACAAAACATTACTTTGATAATCACTGTTGTGTGACACTGGTCATCACGTTTGTCCGAAGCATTCTGTCACATTATCATTATCATCTTTATCTTTATCATCATTTTCCTGTTGAGCGATTAGAGTCACGTGGACCCGCAGCCCATTCATCCATTCTGTTCTGTCCTGAGCAATCCCTTTGATATCGTGGATGGCATCATGAATAGCATCCTTTCTTGCATTCTTCTGTAGCATGAAAAAAAAAAATAAAGGCTGTCTACGAACCCAAACCTTCTCTTTTTTCATCCGGTCTTAGGACCTGCAACGGTGAAGATCTTCGGTCACATCTTCTATAAAGTAAAGGACTATTTTCTACGCCTTTTCGTATTGGGCATATAGGGCTAGACCTTGATTTTATAGACCATTCGGTGGGTGATGTGGTCAGCATCACTTTTGTCGTGTACCTGATACCCACTCAAGGCTGGGTGGACCTAAGAGCGAAGGTCAACTTTGAAAAAGTCCGGCTCCGCCAGGACCTGACTCCACGACCTTCCAATCCGCAGGCCAATATCTAGCCGCTACTCCACGACGACTCCCTCTGTCACATGTACTAGGAATAGTTTATGACACAGATGTTCGTCTGCGCCATGATATACAATAGCGTCCTCTTTCTTTGTCCCTATCTGGCTTGCCAGTAGACGACTTCGTCGCTGGTCGGGACAACATGTGAGTCTGACTTCTTCGATAGCATCAATACTGCAGGAATCCTTTTCAGAGCTCTTGGCGGCGTGCAATGCTTAGCCATTCTATATGGCCACATAACCTGGTCACAGTTATAACCTAAAGCGCTTCCTTCTAGGACGCTGGCTGAACATTACATTTTTTTTTTCCAGCGAAGTGCCCACTTTGGTCCGCAGCTACTTCTGTGCCCCTCCAACCTTCTTGTTGTTGTAAATGAACTCGATTTCCCGATTCTCGTGACGTGCCCAAAGTTGTCCGTTGGACGTAGTTCTGATTACGGACCATTTTGTACGACGTCTTCACCAGAAGAGCTGCTGGTTGAAGAATTAGACGTTGATTCTCTGGCAGGAGACTGGAGATCGAGTCCTCGGTAAGACAATTATTTTGTTTTCAAGGGGCAAAAATAATTACCCATACCTGCTCAGTTCATGTCACTGGTACGATATCCCCATGCGTCTGTATCCCTGTCTTCATCATCAAGTGCCTAGTCGACTTATGTAGACGATTACACTTTTCCTTTATCTGTGATCTTCATCATCATGTTTCACTTCATGTGCTGATCGTCATTCTGTGTTTTCTCTTCCCAGTCGTCACAACATGTTTCAGTTTTCTTCTTCTCATAACATGACCACAAAATGTCACCTGGTTCTTTCCGATGTTTGTAATGTGTTTTCTTCGAGCCCTTGCCTTTTTCGAAACATCTGGGTTGCTTTCTGTAAAGATAGTGTTTTCTTCCATTACTCTTTTATCAGTTCAAAGTGACTCCATCACTTTGATACAAAACCACTCCTTTGCTGTTTCCACATAATTTCACAATAGTTTGATTTTTATCCATGATCCATTTCTACATATTTAATTACTTAAACTTAAACAAAGAAACTATTGTATTTTATTTTATTTTTTAATTAGATACTTTGCAATTATAGTAACTATAATTTGCGTTTGCTTACATTTTTTTAATTTAAAAAAAAAAGTAGGTTTCAAGGATTCGAGTTGTCTGTTTCTTTTTTAAATTTGTACAGATTTTAAGTGCCATTTCCTGTACATCTTTATTGTACGAAGAGGGGTCTCTGATCAGGTAGTGCCTGCATCTATCAGTGTGTGTACTCTTTTCTCTGTCTGCCTGTCTTTGTGTCCATCTGCCCCCCCCCCCCTTTTTTTTTCTCTCTCCATCTCTATCTCTTTTTCTCTCTCTTTCTCTGTCTCATTATTGCATTAAATATATTTACCGTCTTCTATTATGAAACATTTGGTATTGTTTTACGTATTCCCTGCGTGTTGTAACTGCGTGTTTTATTATGAGAAGGGAGGGGCAGAAAAGTGGCTGGGTACTATATGTATTTTTTTTTTTTTTTTCATCGAACACCGGCTGTTAATTCCAGTGGAAGGTCCCGGTTAATCGTCCGCTTGGACTTTTGGCTTTCACCTGGACCTGATTTTTGCGTGTACAACCGTTTTTCATTTCCCTGCCTCTTGGGCAGCTGTACGCCGACTTCGAAGGAAGACGTCAGGCCTATTTCTAGGGTGACTGTGGCCATTGTTTTGTGTGGGTCGAGACGTTGCCTGATTTGTGTGGTGTCCATTTTGTCGCCTTCGCCGCAGGTATTGCCCCCGGAGTACCCCTTTGGGGTAGCCCCCTGTGGAACAGTTGGCCCTCAAGGGAAGGCAGGGGCAGATCATGGGCATTCCCCGCCATCCAAGGAGGCTTCCATGCATGCAGAGCCGGCACATATCGCTCTGTTTCTGGGCTCACCCAAGGAATCGTCACGTCCTGCACATGCCTGCTTAACCTCACAACCGTATCAGGCCTCCCGCTCGACAGGGGCTGCGCCCTCTGGAAGTCTGCGGGGAGCAGCCTTTGGGTTTTGGACTTTTGTGACCACACAGATAGGTACGTTAGCCCGACAGAATTTCACATCCTGAATCAGGCATATCGTTGTCAGTTTTTTCCCAACACTCGGGCAAGTGAGGTCTTTGGGTGTGTGTATTCGGTCTCTTTCAGTTCAGTGCAAATTTTGATGGTCAGATTTTGATCCGTATGATCTAGTTTTGTCGGACATTTAGACTTAGCCATCTGATGGATGGTTGCTGTTGTGGTGTACCCCAGCGCGGTGACGACGACACTGAGGGTTAACCGAGGATGTACGTGAGTGGCCAGCCTATGGATGGTTTTGTTGTGGTGCACCTCAGCGCGGTGACGACGACACTGAGGGCCAACCGGGGATGCACAAGGATGGCCAGCCCATGGATGGTTGCTGTTGTGTTGCCCCTCAGCGCGGTGACGACGACACTGAGAATTAACAGAGGATGTGCAGTGAGCAATGTTCTCTATACTCAGCAGTTTTTTTAACCAAGAGTTGTAATTTTAGCTGTATGTTTGTCAACCCTACTCATGTTCCTAATGAGTTTTGATAACGTTTCACCCAAGCGTTTGGGGGCGGGCTGATGAGAGCCACAAGGACACATCACCTCTGGGGGCCGCCAAACTCCGAGATCCCCTGACAGCTCTGTTAATGCTCATTTGAGACATTATCCGTGGCGCACGACGAGGACGTGCTGTAGGGGTCTTGCGTGAGGATCTGTACAACCAGGATAGTGAAGGACTGGCGCCCGAGTGACGTACGGAGTATCTCCTTATACACATCATGATGGACTTAACTTCCCCTCACGCCTGTGACATAAATCACCGCGCCACACTATATGTATAAAATGAGGCTAAAATCATACTTTTTTTATATACATCAGACAGCACTTAGGGGGTGGTGTCGTCAACAATATATATATATATATGAGTCGCAATAGAGCACTGGCTGCCCCACTTGCCTCCCTGTCCAAAGATAATGTGTTTGGATCCCCATTGAAGTCAGAAATGTCTTAACAGTGTATCAATTGTAAAATGGCTACTTTGGAAAGTTATAGAACATGAAGGTAGTCAGCAATTCGCTACAATGATGTAGACAGGTATGAGCATTATGAGGACTAACAACATAAATAGGGTGCTGCTACATAAGTACCTCCACCGTCGACAGTTTTAAATAATTACGTTCCACGTCATGAGAGTTGTGTACCGCGTCATGAGAGTTGTCTACCGCGTCATGAGAGTTGTGTCGCGTCATGAGAGTTGTCTACCGCGTCATGAGAGTTGTCTACCACGTCATAAGAGTTGTGTACCGCCTCATGAGAGTTGTGTCGCGTCACGACAGTTGTGTATCACGTCATGAGAGTTGTGTAACACGTCATGAGAGTTTTGTAACCGGTAATGAGAGTTGTGTCCCCCGTGATGATTCTTGTGTCCCCTGTGATGATTGTTGTGTCCCCCGTCATGAGAGTTGTGTACCCTGTGATGAGTATTGTGTCCCCTGTCATGAGAGTTGTGTACCGCGTCACGAGAGTTGTGTAACTCGTCATGAGAGTAGTATACTGCGTCATGAGAGTTGTATACCTCGTC